TTGTTCGCACTTTGCTTTAAAAGATATGGCATTGTAAACTTTTGTATTACAACTATATACAATGTTTCTGACAACGGGCCGCTGTGGCATGTACATATTTGTTTTGCTAGTACGCTCATTCTGTGAGTAATCATCATTCTGATAATCAGAATGATTACTCCATGGCTCATTCAACGTGTGATCTTTATTCTCTTTTATTCTATTACGCTGCATTCTATTCTATTTCTATTGCTCTCCTCTCTACAGATTGATAGTTCTCTGCAGAGGGTTGTCTCTATGGATGCGTTAGAGCCCACGGATAAGAAGTGTCACCGGTTTAAATATAGGCTCAGCGTATCTAATTCACATCTCGACGAGCTGTGCTTAGCAAAATCAAAATCGAAAAAAAAATTGATAAGAAAGGTATAAATCGGGTAGCTAGTTATTTATGAAATTTCTCGTTCATGTACTCGTGATATTTTTGTGCGTGCGTGCATCCATGCGTGTATGTGTGAACGCGCGAGAATGTGAGTACATGTGTGCATGTGCGTGCGTGCGTGCGTGTGTGTATGTGTGAGTGTGTGTGCGAGCGTATGTGTGTGTGTGTGTGTGTGTGTGTGTGTGTGTGTGTGTGTGTGTGTGTGTGTGTGTGTGTGTGTGTGTGTTTACGCGTGACGGTGTGCGGGTGTATGCGTGTGTTTGTGTGGGCGTGTGCGCGTGCATGCGTAATACATTGAATTTTTGATGTGATATTTATGTTATATAATTTGTATATGCGAGGAATGTCGGACAAAAGCCAGAACACCCGAGCAAATTCATTATGCTGTACGTTGATTATGGTCGGTTTCTCTAAAGGTAGTAACAACTTGAGAAGTAAGTAGTAAACGTGATGCAGTTATATGATGTAATGGGTAGAGGAAAGTATTAAATTTGTTACAGACAATAGCAATCATGTCGTACACACACCTGAACATTTTGAAAGAAAGAAATTCTGTCAGACAATTAACGCCACAATAATAACACTAGATCCAATGCTCGCAGCTTCATATATATTATATATATATATATATATATATATATATATATATCAAAGAACTGGTATATAGAATCAACTAAGACCTTGCAGTTGCGTTATAGCGTTTCTCCTTTTTTAACACATTATCTGCGTCTTCTCCCGTCAGCCACCGCCGTCTCCTCCCATTGTTGACATGCCGACGGGAGAGATCGCCGTCAACATCCGCTTCATCCCTCCGTCGATCGTCGCCTCCTCTTCGTCGAAGGACCGGAAAAAGAAGCCGGGGAAGGTGAAGCTAAAGGGAGACATGCATTGCCTCGTGAAGCAGGCTCGCAATCTGTTCGGGAGGAAGGCGACGGGAACGGACGCCTTCTGCCGCGGGTACGTGTGAGACGACGACCGGACGTCCTGTCTGGGATTCATCCCGATGTCTTCCTGATCACGTGTATAGCTGCCGTAGTAATATTCAGTACTACACCGATAGTGAAAGAAATGACATGAAACAGTTTTTAATAGGTAGTGAAAAAGTACGGTATTTCGCGGCTAATGCGGTGCATGTTTTTCTCAGGAAATTTTCCCATTAAGCACCTTATATCCTATATAAGCTGAAGGTCGGTGTAGCGGGCATTTTTTGCTATGATATTTAGCTGCGGTTTGGTATATTATACACTTTAGCGGAATAGCCTACAGTGTATACAAACAAATACTGATTGAGAAGAGGGCGTGTGAGATACGGGGAACTTTGAAGGCTAAAAGCATGACAAACCCCAGAGTGCAACCTCATTTATCGTGAGCATATGGTAGTGGGGAGAGCTATCGTGCAGACAACACGTTGCTTCTGCTAATTACCTTCTAAATTTGGGGATGTGTTTAATGCATCCCAAGCGGATGCGCCATGCAATACCATATATGATGTGCTATCGATGTACTATTCACCGTACAACTGCCGTAGCCGGGCCAACGTGAACTACGCACGTGTGGGTTATCCGTGAAATATGCTGGATTCGGGTACATTATAATGTACCAGATCCTGAGCGTCATCTCCGTGACTATACGCCCACGACTACTGGAGAACTTGCTTTTCAACGCCACACACTAATCTGACCCTAACGCCAACTAACCACGTTCCACCACTCTCCATCTGGTCATGAAATAAAGCGCGGACGTCTCTCTATTTGTTTTTCTCTCTTTTTCTCTCTCTCTCTCTCTCTCTCTCTCTCTCTCTCT